AATCTGGAATTGTGCCCGGTATATGGCAATAGGCTCACCCCCTATTACATGGGACTCATAACATAAATAGTGAAAAGTGGGTGTTACATTGTGTATGAACTCTACCCCTTCGAAGATTATAAGGTACAATAATTATTACATAATTATGTTTACAATAAATAAAAGTCTAATATTAAACGTATAATTACATGTATCAATCATCGAACTTTGCCTGTATCTCATCAATAATTCGCTGCTTAACCTTTTTGAACTTCACTTGAAAATTGACCAAATCCTGATTGGTCTCCCTGGACAAAATTCCCAGTAACTCAGCGAATTGTACCAGTGTCAAGTCGTACCTATTTTCCCGAACTCTGTCGTAAGACGTTTCAAACATCTTCAAAGACAAATTTACGTCATCAATTATTTCACATTCTTTGAACCATTTTTCTACAATTTCGAATTTCGCTCCTTCACTCCTGCTTGCACCGTAGAGAACCATATACATTTCTTCAATATCCATAATTTTTCAAATTTCCATTCAAAATTTTGTTTGTTTGTCTGTTTGTATGTTCGCACTTATCTCCAGAACTACTAGTTCGAATTGAATAATTATTTTTGCGTTGGATAGCCCATTTATCAAAGAAGACTATAGGGTATAAAACATCACGCTGCGATCAATAAGAGCTGAGCAGTGAGTGAAATAGCATCAGTAGGTAGTCTAATTGTATGAAATTCACTTTCTAATGCTACAGGACGTCCAAGAAGAAAGGTTTTTCTCAACTAGATTAATTAGCTCAGAAGAAAATATTGGACGAGTCTCTCTCTAGACTTAGAATCTCTAATTATAAGTTTAAATCGCCAACCCCCTTTGAGCAAGTGTGGTAATTAATGCTTATGCCATCTCCGAGTAAGAAGAGGCCTTTGGTCAGCAGTGGAACAGTTAAGGCTGATAATAAAATATCTGTCTTATTCAAAAAGACACTTAGACACAAGAGAATAGTTCAGTCTAAGCTATGGTAGCGCAGGCGATGTTACAGTACTCAAGTAATGTCTAAATCTAAATACTCATCACTCAATTTTAATTCGCGCAAGTAGTAATAGTTCTGTCTCTATAAATTCTATGTAAATTGACAGAGATGACACGATATGGTACACCTTATTAAATTGATTATCCTTTCAGTGTTCAGGCGTAAGTGTACTGTCTATACCTAATACACGTGTACTCTCTCTTCCCTCATTCTCTTGACATGATGGGACGTCTTCTCCGGAGCGAGGTCAGTCGCAGAACTAATGGATTTCTGTACAAACACTGTCGAATTTTTACAGTCTATTATAACTATATTTATTGTAAAAAGTTCACAAGCACTTACATTTCTGATTTTGTAAGAAATGTAATTAAATTTGGTAGATACTATAATAATATATTTTACTACATTCTTGATTTATTGTGGTTATGAGAATGTAATATTTTGTTAAAATAAATCTGGTAGGCTTTGCCTTGTTAGTAGAGTCGTCGCAAGTACCTACAACTGCTTTTAGAAAGACTCTGGTTTGATTACATTTTCGTAAATTCCCCTCCATGGTTTGCGTCCCACTCATGCTTCCTCTAGTCTTACAGTTGTGCTTAGACTACGCAGCAGACACCTATAATTCAGTTCTTCCCATCCGTGCATGAGCGGCTGGAGAGGACATGGTTGGAGGTGGATCACTGTGTTGCCCAATTTCTGACTGGCCACGGCAACTTTAAAAGCAAATTGTTCTCATTTAAACTTGTTGATTCACCATGGTGCCAATATTCGACAGCGGAGCTGCAATACGAGCAGTCCGCCCATCACATACTCTAGGAGTGTGATCTCTCGCAGTATGAACGTAACACTATGTTAAATAATTTAATTGTTTCGTCAGGTGTAGTTTATTATACGGACCTTGTGAAATCTAGACCCAACTTCCATACCTTTAGGCGCTTTTGCCATACCGATTATTAGAAGCAAATATAACAGCTCACACATAGGACCCACTTAGTTTTAGTCAATTTTCCGTTGTGCTTGGTAACTGGGCTTCACCCAGTTGTACCTCTACAGTCTCTCCTTTGTGCCTTTAGGCTTAATTCATTCTGTCTCCTGCAGTAATTCACCGAAGGGAGTGGAAACTATCGTTGTTTTCTTCTCCTCTTATAATATCTTCTGATTCACTTCGTTGCGGGAACCAAGACAGTTGTTCATGTCCCTGGGACGCCGGACTTCAGTGTTCCGGTGTTTTCATGGTTGTATCTACTGTAATCACAGGAGTTGTAGCGGTTTTAGGAGGTTGTAGAGGACTAGTCCCTTAAAAAAAAACAGTCACCGTAGTTTTTATAATAACTATCGTGAGACATACTAAATTAAGTAAAATCGCGGGTTACTCACGTGAATATACTGAGAAAAGCTCTACTAGTTTCGAACCACAGAGGGGTTCTTCCTCATGAGCAGCGTGCGCAGTCGCGGCGACGTCGTTCAGCTCACTCACAGTGAGTATATTCACGTGATTAACCCGCGATTTTACTTAAGTCACCGTAGTGTCTGCTTACCATCGGGACAAACTGTAAGCTGAAATAGGTACTTATAGGTAAGTGCAATATTATCTTTGTAGACAAGGAGGTCGATAACAAGGCGGACATAATGTCACTTATATAATACTGAAACGTTACTCAATTTTAAGTCGTGCTCAAATATCATGCCATCTCTGTCATTTTACAAAGAATTTGTAGAGACAGAACTATACCTAAGCACGACTTAAAATTGAGTAGCGTTTCAGTATTCCGACATTAGACATGATTGAAGCACCACCGGTTTTCTACCAGATGCATTTCGGTGAGTGTGCGGGGGCACAACTTGATTCCCCCTTTTCATCATCGTACCACAAGACAATCGGCGAAGCGTCACCGATTCATAGTAAATGCAATCCCACCCAAACGCTCGAAGCGCTTCGCATCAAGCTTCCTTGTGCGTGTTGCTAAGGTTTGGAATTCTTTGCCAGAGTCTGTGTTTCCTGAAGGGTACCCAGTATGTCTTCAAGGCCCGAGTGAATAAGTTGCTTATGGGACGACGTGCTCCATCGTAGACCGCATCATCGTGCACTACCAGGCGAGATAGTGGACAAACGTCGGCCCATCAAATATAAAAAAGCAAAATGTCAGTGGGTTATTTATGTGTGCGTGTGTAATGTGTTTCCACGTTACCGGACTTAAGACTATCGCAAATGTCCTTCGTGTCAATGTGTGTATGTTCTGAAAGAAAAGAACGAAAAACATTTATTCAGCACCAGGCACGATGCAGCATAAATAAAATATAAACAAGTGCGAGTCGGACTCGCGCACCGAGGGTTCCGTACAAACCTGCAAGGTTTACAAAGTTCGTTCATTACGACGATCGAGTCATAACTATGGTATTTTTATTGCAAAATGAAATTCATAACATTACAATGGGGAAAGATGGAGGAGCATAAATTTAAGACAAAGATCTCTTTTTATATTTATCAAAAAATATATATTTTGTAATGTAACTAAAAATTTAAGGTTTTCGGAATTTTTCCTTTATGTGTGCTATAAAACGTTGTTTCATGCCAAATTTCAAGATTCTAGGTAGACTGGAAGTACCCTTTAGGTTTTGATTCCCTTGCGAGTACTTGCGAGTTTCAAAATATGCAGCTTAAATTGCTGTTTCTTTTGATTGCGTTGACATAGAAGTTTGATTTTGTTACAGCTTAAAGGTATTATAGACCTGAGTAATTGATATAAATTTCAGCTTCATATCTCCACCCGTTCCTGAGAAAAAGAGTCTTGACAGACGGACGGACGGGCGGACGGACAGACGGACAACAAAGTGATCCTATAAGGGTTCCGTTTTTTCCTTTTGAGGTACAGAACCCTAAAAAGACAATAAAGTTGTGACAGTGGAAGTAATAAAAACATTGAGTTGAAAAATTAAAACAGAAGAATTAGAAGAGAGACGCTGACAACATGGCTATGCTAAAAGGGTCACCCACTCAGTATAAGCCAGGCATACAAGTCACCCAGCACTGATTTTCAGTGGGCACCCATGCAGCATTCTGCGTGGTGTAAGTGTATAGTAGCCAGGTGCCACAGTCGTAGTTTCAAGACACTGTGTCCACCTTTTTCAACGTCCTTACTCGTCGAATACTTTTCTACAAATGTACACCAAAGAGAAGAATAAAAAATAAGTAGATTACCTATTATTCTGTCAATGAATGTTATTTCTGTCAAAATTCCAACGAGTATAATAAGTCTATGGGAAAAATTCTCAAAACATGATGAATGTTTTAAACAATATGTTAAATTACTTATAGATACGTACTTAACACGACTCAAAATGAGTTTATTAAATAGCCGTCACAATAAAAATGTACAATAATCAAGAATGGAAGAAATTTTCACACAATTACAAATTAGGGGATACAATAACATTGAAAATCTCATCAAATGGATGGCCAAAGGTAAGTAATCTTCTCCCCGCCTACCAGGCGTGGGGGGTACAGACTCCTTCTCTCTTCCATCAATAATTCATGTCACTGGGACGTTGGACTTCAGTGTTCCGGTGTTTTCATGGTTGTATTTAATGTAGATCTTGGTGCACATGAGTTACAGCGGTTTTGGGAGGTTGTGGCGGACTGGTCCTATACCGGGTACAATTCTAGACTATTAAGACTCCGCATCTACTGAGAAAAATTATCGAAGAACAGAAAAGGACTTCAATATAATATTGTGCCCTACCTTTTTATTCTAAGTGGAGAAAATCATCGAAGGTCTCCACCGGCCTTGAGTGAGGAGAGGTTTCAAACTTTTACTGTCTGAACAACACCCTGTTCCTACTCCTACTCCAGCTCCGAGCCGGAGCCCCAGTAAACCGTTAGAGCGTCCACAGCTTCGGAAATTGCCCTACCTACTCTGACCACTCGAACAATCAATGTGGCAGTTTATACTTTTTTCATTATATATTATTTTCATAACTTTCAGCGCGTGTAATAGATCCATCTCAAAGGGACACTGAAAAATGGCTAGTCGAACACTTCAGAGATATTCCTAATACGAAAAATATAACGCTAGATAAATTTAAAGAAATAGTCAATATTTTTGCTGAAGAACAAAATAAATCCATGGAAGAAATGTCGGCCAGGCTAGGTAAACAAATACCTGCGGTGCTTGATCAAGGTAAAATTATATCTTACACATAACTGCGTTGCGTCGCCGCGACGCTAAAATCGGCAGTTTGCGTTGCGACGTTGCGGCGTTGTGAAAAAGAGCGTTTTATTGTCGTTCGGTAACCAGTTCGTCGTGATTTATTTTTGTGGATAGCCGTCTCTCTGCCATGGACTATCGTGAAAAACTTATTGCTTATGTGTTATTAAGAAGACATTACTCTGCTATGCTGGAACGAGCGCTGCGTTGTGGCGCCGCGTCGCTTAAATCGGCAGTGACGCTACTGTCGATTCTATCGCACCGCCGTAATGTGTTTTGGCCCGTACTGTCCCCTGCCTCCCACAGTCCTCCCCCAATTATTACATCGCGAGGTTGGAAGCGACCTGCATACAGCGACTGTCGCAGACCTTTAGCAGGTCGGCTGTCCTCCTTGTGGGCTAAATGCTGATATGACATTATTAATTTATCCTACTTCCTATTAGTATTATAAATGTAAAAGTTTTCATGTTTCTTTGTGTGTTACTCCTTTAAAAGGATCGAGATGAAATTTGGAACAGGGGTAGATTATAGTCTGGAATAACATACAGGCTACTTTTTATCCCACTGGAACGCGGGCAAAGCTGTTGACAGAAGCTAGTTTATAATATTTTCTCGATCTAAGAATCGATTAGGATATCGTTTCGCTCGGCAGACGGTTTTATATTTAGTATAATAGTATGGCGTTCGTCCATTACCTCGTCTGATGGTTTTGTTTTATGGTATAAGCTGGTACATGACCAGACTGATCACCTGATGGTAAGCAATCGGTGTTGCCCATGGACACACGGGACACCAGAGGCGTTACAAATGCGTTACCAGCCTTTTGGAGATTAGGAGTTTGAGGATTGTTGGGGATTCAGAGATTGTAGAGATAAGGGAAGGGGGAGTGGGTAATTGGGTCTCCAGTAACCTCACTCACATGACGAAACACAAAGCAAGCGTTGGTCACGTCAGTTTTCTGTGAAGCCGTGGTATCACTCCGGTCCAGCCGGCCTATTTTTGCCGAAGCATGGCGCTCCCACACTTAAAAGTCGTAAGCGATGATGTGGTCTACGATGGAGCACGCTTGCCTCGGAACTTGAAGAATATAGCAGAATTCCTCTAAAACATTATAGTTTAACAAGAAACCAGTACTAATTATTCCCGTTTCTTTATCGCAGTAGACTCCAGTCCTGGTATCTACGTAGCTGCGCCTGGATCAGAGAAACTCGCAATATTCTCCCGTGTCACCGTCTGTAGCGATATGAGCACCGTCACTGACTACAGCCAACTTATCAACCAAGATGACAGTAATGGCGAGGTCGCCACCAGTGTCACTAGCAGTATTGGCGGGGTGCCTGTATGTAGTCAAGGTGCGGTAGCCGACAGTAGCCAGGGTGAAGTAACCGCCGGTAGCCAAGGCGATGTTACCGACTGTAATATTCAGATAGTTACCAGCAGCCAGGCCGAGATCTCTGACTCTGATACCAGTTCATGTGAAACCACTTCTCAGTCTAATAAATCGGACGAAACTTGATGAATGAAATATTAATCAAGTCGCAAATGTTTTAAATTTTGTTTTATTTATTATTGAATAATAATCTGTAAGAGAATGTTGTTTTCATTGTTTCTAGTTAAGGAACGTATTGAGTAAAGACCTTGCAACAGTTAAAGAGTGGATGCTTTAGAGAAGGAGGGGTTATATCAATAGATGGCGTTGTTCGTATGATATTTTTGTATATAAAATAATGTGAATTCTAAATTTTTTTGTGCTTTCAAAATAGATAATATCTGACTATTTTAATCTTGTTTAAAATTATCTAAAGATTTTTTTACAAACTTTTTTTTATGGCATAAGCCGGATCACCTGATGGTAAGCAATCGGCGTCGCCCTTGGACACCTGGAACACCAGAGGCGTTACAAGTGCGTTACCGGCTTTTGGGGGATTAAGAGTTCAGGGCTTGGGGATATTGGGGAAGGGGAGGGTAATTGGGCCTCCGGTAACCTCACTCACACGACGAAACACAACGCAAGCGTTGCTTCACGTCGGTTTTCTGCTCGGCCGTAGTATCACTCCGGTCGACCCGGCCTATTCGTGCGCAAGCATGGCAGTCCCACATTTATACTTTATACTTTAATACACTTAAAGTCAAATTATTTTTGGCGACTTTAGCGTGCTAACTCCTGACTCCATCGGCAGTTGAGCGGCTGACACTCACTGCTCCGAAGTTTAAGGGGAGAACTATTTAAGTACTAATAAGATTTTCAGTGGTCTATTAAAGTCTTTTTAAAACTACTATCACCTCCTCTACTGTTATTCTATGGTGGGTAAACAGCGCCGCTCATGAACATCCACAATATTTAATAAGCATTACATTGAGGTGTGTAGCCAGCATTTCACCAAGAAGTAGATATTCTAGGTACACCTACATAGATGCCAAAATTCTCGATTTCCAAAATATCCATAAATATATGGACAGATGTCAAAAAATGAACAATCACCAGTGACAGACATATTAAAACATTTTTCTAATAAAATAAAATAAAAACCCGAAACAAGATGGATGATATGGATAAAATTTTTAAGGACCTCGAGAAGAGAGGAAAGACTGATGTAGATAACTTGATACAATGGATGAAAGATTGTAAGTACGAGGGTCCAGTCAACAAGGATATAGCGAGGTAGATTGGTGTGGAACAGGTAGAAAAAGAGGTGGATAGGCATTCTTATGCTTTTTTATACGAAATAAGGCGGTAAACGAGCAGACGGATCACGTGATGGTAAGCAATCGGTGCCGCCCATGAACACCTGGAACACCAGAGGCGTTACGAGTGCGTTACCGGCCTTTTGAAGATTAGGTATTTGAGGGTCATTGGGGATTGGGGAGATTGAAGATAATTGAGCCTCCGGTAACCTCACTCACACGACGAAACACAACGCAAGCGTTGTTTCACGTCGATTTTCTGCTCGGCCGTGGTCGTGGTATTACTCCGGTCGAGCCGGCCCATTCGTGCCGAAATATGTCTCTCCCACACTTATTATACTTTCTTCTATGTAAGAATATACACTGCCTCATTGGCCGAGTGGTCGCAAGTGCGACTGCCGGGCAAGAGGCTCGGGTTCGATTCCCGGGTCGGGCAAAGTATTACTGGGTTTTTGAAAATACTCAGTAGTAGCACGGAGTCTGGAATTGTGCCCGGTATATGGCAATAGGCTCACCCCCTATTACATGGGACTCTTAACATAAATAGTGGAAAGTGGGTGTTACATTTAACAGTGGCATTAAGTGCCGTAATGTGCACCTCTGCCTACCCCTTCGGGGATAAAAGGCGTGATGTTATGTATGTATGTAAGAATCTACTCTTTGGAAAGGACAAATATCTTCACTAGAGGCAGTGGCATTACAGGGTGGCAAGTCGGCGAAATGCCACGAGCCCCCAGCCGAAAGGGGTCCCCTCGAGTTGTTTGTACCTGTACTTCTTAGCATAGTACGCCACTGCCACCAACTAGAAGACTAACTGTCAGATGAACTTTTATCTCCAACTTCTTAGTGAAGATAATTGAAATTAAGGCTTTGAATGCCAATAAAAAACTGTTGAAGGCAATTCCTCCGCTAACGTCGGTCACCGGTGACTGCCATGGCGTTTAACGTGTTAATGATTTGGCCACATTTGACTTTGATTTTGATGATATTTTCAGCGAAATTGATAGAAGCTTCAAAAGACCAAGAAAGTAAGGTCAAGCAGATGTTTAAAGAAGTATCTACTGTCCAACGCGTGGACCTGGAGAAGTTTAAAGCAGTGCTTGAGAAGTTGGCGATTGAGCAGAAGAAAACAGTGGAACAGCTGTCTAAGCAGCTCGCTGAAGAAGGTCCACGCTTCTTGGATGCCGCCGTAGCTGGGCTACAAGCCTTCCGCGACGCTCTAGAGAAGAATAGACCTAAATAGAATGCAATAAACCTTTACCTATATTGATTTTATTTTGTTGTTTTTATTTTAATTTGAGAGGTTCAACAGTGGGTCCACTTGCGGTCAAGGACGTTAAAAACAAGCTGACGTAATCTCACTTAGAAATGATTGAAGCACCAAATTTATTTTTTTATGGAATAGGAGGCAAACGAGCAGTTGGATCACCTGATGGTAAGCGATCAGCGCCGCCCATGGCAACACCAGAGGAGTCACAGGTGCGTTGCCGGCCATTACGCTCTTTTCTTGAAGGTTTGAAGGTCGTATCGGTTCGGAAATACCGTCGACTACAGATTTATTATCCATTTTTGATTCGATCTCAGCTCGCAAAGATACCACGAGTACAGCTCTCTATAGCACGCTGTGTGATTTGACCTTGGTCTTTCTTTAACATTCACCAACAGCTCATGACACTTTAGGTCTATTGGCCTACTCTTCATGAGAAGGTTTGCCATAATCTCGCCGGTTGGCAGGTGAGTCGGAAATCACAATGTTGTGGTGGCTCGAAGGTTTAAGACGTCCGCTTCTCACGAGGGTTAGGGTTCGAAACCTACCAACGACAAGTATCAATTTAACTTTTCCGAGTTATATGTACTTTTTGATTATTTAGACACCACTGACAAACGGTGAAGGAAAACATCTTTTCTTTTTTTTCTTTATTTTAAAACGTTGCCCCACACTAGGATTTTCTCCTGTGTCGTGGGTGCGTTTACAAACATACAATATCACATACACATGACACCCAGACCCGGAACAACAATCTGTGGATCACACAAAGAGTTATTTCGTGCGGGAATCGAACCCGCAACACGTTGCGCGGCAGCCAGTTGCCCAGCCACCGCGCCAACCGTGCAGTCATCGTGAGGAAACCTGGGCTTATAATTTCTAAATATACCTATAAGTTTGAAATCGCCAACCCGCATTGAGCAAGCGTGGTGATTAATGCTCAAACCTTGTCCGTGTGAGAAGAGGCCTTTGGTCAGCAGTGGACACTTATAGGTTGTTGATGTGTGATGTGTAAAGTGCTCCTTCAAGCTGACCTCTTTATTTGCTATGTAAACGTCTAGGTATAGATTTCTCCTATATCTCTTTGGTAGATATATAGATTATAAAATTATCTATATTATTTGTCAAAATCTACATAGAAAATGTCAACTATATCTGTTTACATTGAATAAACAATAAGTAAACTTAAATAAAAATGTGAACTTAAAACAATTTTAAACTTAAATCTTATAGTTTTGTGCCACCATTGCGCTATGGCTCCAAAAGATTTGGCAGAAGCGTTCAGTAATCTTGAAAAAGAAGTAAAAACTGATGTCGCTTCTTTAGTCAAGTGGTTGGTAGATTGTAAGTACATTTTAAAATATTAAATAACTAGCTTTAACCACGGTGATGTTTTCTCCGTAATCCCAACTATAACATAACATACCATCACGCCTTTTATCCCCGAAGCGTCAGACAGAGGTGCACATTATCGCAATTAACGCTATTATACAATGTAACACCCACTTTTCACTATTTATGTTATGAGTCCCATGTAATAGGGGGTGAGCCTATTGCCATATACCGGGCACAATTCCAGACTCCGTGCTATTACTAGGATTTTTTTTAAAAAACCCTGTATAATACTTTGCCTGACCCGGGAATCGAACCCGAGACCCTTTGCCAGGCAGTAGCACTGGCGACCACTCGGCCAAAGAGGCAGACGGTAATTATTACTATTAATTATTAATTATTATATCATTTTTACAGCAAAACTAATAGGAGATACAAAAGAAGAAATGGACAAAGCCACGGCACTCTTCGCCAGCGTAGCAGATAGCAAGAAGGTCAAGCTAGACGAATTCCTAGGTATTGTTGCTAAAATGTCTGCGAATCTAGCTAAACCTTTGGAAGATCTTGCTAAGCTGCTGCTGGGGTCTGTAGCGGCTGCCGGTGGCGCGTCTACGTCTAAATGACAATGCTGTCGACCCAGAACACGGTGTAGTACCGAATTGATTATTATGTTTTCTCGACTCGACAAGTTTCAAGCCATGGTAGTACTTTAACCCCTATGTAGGTCACCGGTGACTTACGTTAGCGGAGGATTTGCCTTCAGCAGTTTTCTGTCGGCAATCAAAGGCTCATTCATGGACAGCATTCAGCGACTCGACGCGGCGACTGTAGCGCTGCTACTGCCGTGCTAGCATGGCTTGAAACTAGTCGAGTTCCTCGTCTTTAAGTTATGGGAGTATGTCTAACGAGAGTTATAATATAAATGGTGTAATACTGATGGAAGAGCGTCTTGGTCATCCTAGAATAGTTACGTTGATGTGGTTTTTAAAATAAAGTAAAAAGTTTGTCGTTTTGTGTTTTCTTTCTCCTATTGGCTATGTGCGCGACGGTGGCGACGCGTAGCGTTTACAACATTTGCGGAAGCTGTCAAATAATGACTAGTTAAACATTATAATTTTCTTTGCAAATATAAATAAAACCAACGATTAAAATAGTATTGTTGACATTGTTTAAGTGCAATTTATTCAATAGTTTTACTGTAAAATGAATATAATAACAAAAACCGGGTTTGCATTATCCCCATTTGTTTCCAATTTCTGCCGTGTTGTGCGCTGCTGTCATTATCTGTCTGCCACTACTCGCTTTGCACATAGCCAATACTTGATGGGTCGATGTTTGGCGACTATCTCGCCTGGATAAGCAATGCAGGTCTACCCATAAGCAACTCCTCTTCTTCCTTGAAAATGGGCTTTGAAGATACCTGGATTATACCCTTCAGGGAACACAGACTCTGGCTAAGAATTCCACTCCTTAGCAGTACGCAGAAGGACATGTAGCGAAGCGCTTCGTGCGAATGGGAAGCGGTGGCGCTTCACTGATTGACTTGTGGTATAATCATGGATAGAACTATGGGATGTTGCTTATAATGGTACAAGCACTTTTCACCAGTTATATTATGAGTCCGTACAGGAGTTGAGGATATTGTTATACCTACACTAACTATAATTTCGAGCTCCGTGCTAATCATGAGAATGTCTGAAAGTTGGAAGACCGTAAGAACACGACTAGTTTTAAGCCTAGACTAGAGGCTCATATTCATGAGCAGCATTCCGTGACCCGCGACGCGGCGGCTGTCTCTGCTACTGGCTGGTCGGCTCTGCAGCGGTACGCTCTGCAGCCGAATACATAATAATTAATTTAGTTTGTCTCACAATAGTTATAATAAAAACGTAAGAACATTTTGTTCGACCTAGCAATGGAAACCAGCAATGGTAATGGCACTCGATACCCTTTACAGCTTTAAAGTCTCACTAGCGACATCGTAATTCGTAACCAATGAAGCATTACGACACTGGGATTAGCAACCACTCTACTAATGAGGCAGTCATAAAATAACACAGATAATAGTCTTCTTGATCTTTTCATTAGCATCATCAATAACCCTTGGCAGTTCATTACTGGACTGCGAGTCTCTTTAACATAAGAACGGCCTCACTTGCGTTGCGCTGCGTTATGTCGCATCGTGGCCACGGAACAACGCAATGTACGTCCCTCCAGGGATGCGCTTGCGACGACGTACGACGTCCCAACTGCATCTCAGCTCAGATACAAACGTGATGACTGTCTGTCTACGCAGCATATCATCTTACACCCGCTTCTCCGTTCAACGTCGCGTGCAGTCAGTCGCAAACAGTCTATTGGGGCATGTCATAAAAAATATATGAAAAATAAAGATGTGGGGAAAGAACAGGCAAGAAGGACAAGTAGAACCCCGCTTTTTAAAATGGGTATTACCATCATTTATACGCTTGGTCCATTGGTCTTATAACTTTTAAAAAAATACCAAAGTAACCCAAAGATCATGTCACTTTGACATTAGATAAAAGCATTCTGTCAGCTATTTATATTTATTTACCTTTAGCCGTAGATTTAAATTCTATGCCTTCAGCAAAAGTACATTACATGAAATACTTAATATAAATTTAGAGGTATAATGAGTTAATCATGGTGGACAAAGCACTAGCTCAAAGGGACTTGGCAGAGATATTTGAGAACTTAGAAAGGGAACAAAAAACGGATGCACCGTACTTGATTCAGTGGATCAAGGATTGTAAGCAGTACTTTAATATTACCTTGAGTTCTAACACTTGGGACTGAGAGCAAAGAAACGGAGAAAGAGTTTCTGTTTTCATTTCACTTGCAGCACCTCTAAAATTCATTCCTAACAAAGAATTTGAGGGAGCCGCGGAAAGCCCGGGTTACCGGAGCTCCGGCTCGAAAAGCAGGAATAGGAACCGGATGGTTTTTAGTCAGTAAGAGTCTGGCACTCCCTCTCGCCTCACCGATGGCGGGAGAAGTCATTCGATAATTTTCCACCCTAAAAAAAACAAGGAATTTAGATAATTGAGATTGAGATTACAAGAGGATAATTGGGGATTGGGGAGGGGATTAATTGGGCCTCCGGTAACCTCACTTATACGACGATACACAACGCATGTGTTGTTTCCGGGCCGGCTCGACCGAAGCATGGCTCTCCCACGACATATTTGTCCCCTATTCCCAAAAAAGAGATATTTATTAATAACACCTTTGATATCTTTTAGCAAATCTCGTAGATAACTCCAAGGAAGACGATATCCAATTGAAAATTATGTTTAAAAAAGCTAAAAGCAGTCGGAAAGTCAGACTGGAGGAGTTTAAAGCGATCATCATGAAATTAGCTAAAGAAAAATCAAAGACTTTTGAGGAGCTGACGAGGCAGTTGACTGAGGAAGGTCCTGGACTGATGAGGGCAGCTACTGAGGGTGTCTCGGCTTTCAGAGATGCGCTGAGGAGGAACTGATATGTTATTACATTATATTATTATTAATCGCCGAATTGTGTTTGTTTTATTATCTTTATCTATGTAGGGTCTTTTGGTCACACAAAGACCATGCCAGACCCATCATATGGAAAATAATAAGTATTTATTTATAGCAAATAATTGTTGATGTAGAATTTTGTGTTACGTAATTGAATGCAGTTTTAATATACAGGCAATATCAACCGGGATTGGGTGGCGAAAAGTAGGATTCTCTTAATTTTACCAATCCTACTTTTCATAGAAAACGACTAAGGATACTTAACTTGTAGAATTCGGGGCGCCACTGAACGTGATCAGGCAGTGAACAATTTGCTGATGATTCCAAGTTTGGTATGCATTATCGGATGTCAATAGATAGTGATAGCGCTGATATTGCTCGCTGCGCCGATTAGGATTTTTCCAAGCGATGATAGGTATTTCTTGTGCTTTCTTTTTACGCTGAACATTTTTTTGCCAATTTGCCATCCCCTTCTGTGCCAATTTGCCACCCCCTGATCGTGCGCCCGTGTGCTGTGCACGCTTTACACGCCCGCTTACGGCGAGGCTGACCTAAATTGCATGGTTACCTTAGTTATAAGACAACATGTCTGCTTCGGAACGGCGGCCTTGATTCCTTGAGAAAAATTCTAGAATGAGGCAACAATTTTTTATGAAAATAGTATCTATATATTTTGGGTATTACAGACGGTCAATGAGATTTAAAAAGATGACTGCCTCATCAAGGAAAGTACCATGAACTATTTCGGTTTTCATCAACGAAATTTAGATATTTTTTGTTTTGTTTGAATTTATTACCCAACTTATTTTCTACATAATACGTAGCCTATAACATCATAACATCACGCCTTATATTCCTGAAGTTAGTGGAGGGACACATTACGGCACTTAATGCCACTGTACAATGTAACACCCCCTTTTCACTATTTATGTTGAGTCCCATGTAATAGGGGGTGAGCCTATTGCCATATACCGGGCACATTTCCAGACTCTGTACTACTACTGAGATTTTCTTTAAAAAACATAGTAATACTTTGCGCGACCCCGGGACCCCTTGCCCGGTAGTCGCACTTGCGACCGCTCGCAGTCACACGTAGCCCAATAGATTACAAATCAATTTGAAATCTCTAAACCAAGTAGATTATAACAATATTCCCTGCACTTTCACACAACTGCCCAAAAAAACGCTTTTTGATGATGTCATTTTTGTTTTTTCTACAAAATTTGTGATAAAATTATATAATTTGTATAAAAAACAATAAATTGGTATACAATGGAGGCTGCCTTCGCAAATTTACAGAAACAGGGCAAGAATGACGTGGATAATCTGGTGAAATGGTTGAAAGACAGTAAGTGTTGGAACCTTTGTATGTAGTAAGTATAGTGTGTCCAGTTTAACACAGGACGGCGTCACACTGGCGAGCAGACGGATCACCTGATGGTAAGCAATCGGCGTCGCCCTGGAACACCAGAGGCATTACAAGTGCAATACCGGCCTTTTAAGAATTAGAAGTTTGAGGATCGTTAGGGATTCAGGTATTGGGGAGATTGGGCCTCCGGTATCCTCACTCACACGACGAAACACAACGCTAACGTTGCTTCACGTCGATTTTCAGCTCGGCCGTGGTATCATTCCAGTCGAGCCGGCCAATTCGTGCCGAAGCATGGCTTTCCCACATTTAAAACTGATTATTCTTCCACAGTTTTTCCGTTTCCGGTGTCGTAAAGACAGGACGTGTTGTCATTGCTCTCAAGTAAATAATCCCACTTAATTGCTATAATCCATAAAAAGTACTGAAAATACAAATAACCTAGTAGAAAGTGTTTTAACAATCGGTGAACTGGCGAATACAAGCATAGTGAGCACGCAAAACAGCAAGAAAACATTGAGTTCGACATTAGAACCGTCGGAAATAATTCAAAATCCGAAGGTAAATTAAAATAACTCGGTTTGATGCTGACAGATTAATGCCAATAGAGAAAACAAACCAAAGAGGGACCATAGACTACATATCACTGGTGAGTGCTGTCAGAGCAGTATCGGTGTTGCCAACTTCAGACCAGGGTTGCCAGTTTTAGGCCGGTGTTGCCA